TCATGATTTCTTCATCGTAATGAGTGTAAATGATTTGTCATGATTTCTTCATCGTAATGAGCGTAAATCAGACAAAAATATATTTTAGGTGAAGTGGTGAGATCTCACCTCTTTTCTCACCTCTTTTCTCACCTCAGCCGCTAAGCGGCGAGACCCAAAGGGTCTTGAATTTTCATGATTTCTTCATCGTATATGCTTTGTCAAGGTTTCTTCGTATATGCTTTGTCGAAACTTCTTCGTAAATGATTTGTCAAGACTTCTTCATCGTAATGAGTGTAAATGTTTTGTCGAAACTTCATCGGAATGAGTGTAAATGTTTTGTCATGACTTCTTCATCGTAATGAGTGTAAATGTTTTGTCATGACTTCTTCATCGTAATGAGCGTAAATCAGACAAAAATAATGTTTAGGGTAGATGGTTAGATCTAACCTCATTTCTACCCTCTTTTCTCACCTCAGCCGCTAAGCGGCGAGACCCAAAGGGTCTTGAATTTTCATGATTTCTTCATCGTATATTCTTTGTCAAACATGAACGTAAATGATTTGTCATGATTTCTTCTTCGTAAATGTTTTGTCATGATGATTTCATCGTATATGTTTTGTCATGACTTCTTCATCGTAATGAGTGTAAATCAGACAAAAATATATTTTAGGTGAAGTGGTGAGATCTCACCTCTTTTCTCACCTCTTTTCTCACCTCAGCCGCTAAGCGGCGAGACCCAAAGGGTCTTGAATTTTCATGATTTCTTCATCGTATATGCTTTGTCAAGGTTTCTTCGTATATGTTTTGTCATGATTTCTTCATCGTAATGAGTGTAAATGTTTTGTCAAACATGAGCGTAAATGATTTGTCAAGACTTCTTCATCGTAATGAGTGTAAATGTTTTGTCGAAACTTCATCGTACATGTTTTGTCAAGACTTCTTCATCGTAATGAGCGTATATGTTTTGTCATGATTTCTTCATCGTAATGAGCGTAAATGTTTTGTCAAACATGAACGTAAATGACCCAAAAATAATGTTTAGGGTAGATGGTTAGATCTACCCTCATTTCTACCCTCAGCCGCTAAGCGGCGAGACCCAAAGGGTCTTGAATTTTCATACGGAATCTCTTCGTAAATGATTTGTCATGATTTCTTCATCGTAATGAGTGTAAATGTTTTGTCGAAACTTCATCGTAAATGTTTTGTCATGATTTCTTCATCGTAATGAACGTATATTCTTTGTCAAACATGAGCGTAAATGTTTTGTCATGATTTCTTCATCGTACATGTTTTGTCATGACTTCTTCATCGTAATGAGTGTAAATGTTTTGTCAAGACTTCTTCATCGTAATGAGCGTATATGTTTTGTCATGATTTCTTCATCGTAATGAGCGTAAATGTTTTGTCAAACATGAACGTAAATGTTTTGTCAAGACTTCTTCGTAAATGTTTTGTCATGATTTAATCGTACATGTTTTGTCGAAACTTCTTCGTATATGTTTTGTCATGACTTCTTCATCGTAATGAGCGTAAATGTTTTGTCAAACATGAGCGTAAATGATTTGTCATGATTTCTTCATCGTAATGAACGTATATGTTTTGTCATGATTTCTTCATCGTAATGAGCGTAAATGATCCAAAAATAATGTTTATGTTAGAATGTTAGATCTAACACCTTTTCTAACATGTTTCTCACCTCATTGAATTTTCATGATTTCTTCATCGTAATGAGCGTATATGTTTTGTCATGATTTCTTCATCGTAATGAGCGTATATGTTTTGTCAAACATGAACGTATATGTTTTGTCAAACATGAACGTATATGTTTTGTCATGACTTCTTCATCGTAATGAGCGTAAATGATTTGTCATGATTTCTTCATCGTAATGAACGTAAATGTTTTGTCAAAACTTCTTCATCGTAATGAGCGTATATGTTTTGTCATGATTTCTTCGTATATGTTTTGTCATGACTTCTTCGTATATGTTTTGTCATGACTTCTTCATCGTAATGAGCGTATATGTTTTGTCAAACATGAACGTAAATGTTTTGTCAAAACTTCTTCGTAATGAGTGTAAATGATCCAAAAATAATGTTTATGTTAGAATGTTAGATCTAACACCTTTTCTAACATGTTTTCTAACATGACCTCATCGTAAATGTTTTGTTATGACCTCATGGAACTTAAACGTAAATGTTTTGTCATGACCTCATGGAACTTAAACGTAAATGTTTTGTTATGACCTCATGGAACTTAAACGTATATGTTTTGTCATGACCTCATGGAACTTAAACGTAAATGTTTTGTCATGACCTCATGGAACTTAAACGTATATGTTTTGTCATGATTTCTTCATTGTATATGCTTTGTCATGACCTCATGGAACTTAAACGTAAATGTTTTTCATGATTTCTTCATCGTATATGCTTTGTCAAGGTTTCTTCGTATATGTTTTGTCATGACCTCATCGTAAATGTTTTGTCATGACCTCATCGTATATGCTTTGTCATGACCTCATGGAACTTAAACGTAAATGTTTTGTTATGACCTCATCGTAATGAGTGTAAATGACCCAAAAATAATGTTTATGTTAGAATGTTAGATCTAACACCTTTTCTAACATGTTTTCTAACATGACCTCATGGAACTTAAACGTAAATGTTTTGTCATGACCTCATGGAACTTAAACGTATATGCTTTGTCAAGGTTTCTTCGTATATGTTTTGTCATGACCTCATCGTATATGCTTTGTCATGACTTCTTCGTAAATGTTTTGTCATGACTTCATCGTATATGTTTTGTCAAACATGAACGTATATGTTTTGTCAAGGTTTCTTCGTATATGTTTTGTCAAGGTTTCTTCGTATATGTTTTGTCAAGACTTCTTCGTATATGTTTTGTCATGATTTCTTCGTAATGAGTGTAAATGATCCAAAAATAATGTTTATGTTAGAATGTTAGATCTAACACCTTTTCTAACATGTTTTCTAACATGACCTCATGGAACTTAAACGTATATGTTTTGTCATGACCTCATCGTAAATGTTTTGTCATGACCTCATGGAACTTAAACGTAAATGTTTTGTCAAAACTTCTTCGTAAATGTTTTGTCATGACCTCATCGTAAATGTTTTGTCAAAACTTCTTCGTAAATGTTTTGTTATGACCTCATGGAACTTAAACGTAAATGTTTTGTCATGACCTCATCGTAAATGTTTTGTCATGACTTCATCGTATATGTTTTGTCAAACATGAACGTATATGTTTTGTCAAGGTTTCTTCGTATATGTTTTGTCAAGGTTTCTTCGTATATGTTTTGTCAAGACTTCTTCGTATATGTTTTGTCATGATTTCTTCGTAATGAGTGTAAATGATCCAAAAATAATGTTTATGTTAGAATGTTAGATCTAACACCTTTTCTAACATGTTTTCTAACATGACCTCATGGAACTTAAACGTATATGTTTTGTCATGACCTCATCGTAAATGTTTTGTCATGACCTCATGGAACTTAAACGTAAATGTTTTGTCAAAACTTCTTCGTAAATGTTTTGTCATGACCTCATCGTAAATGTTTTGTCAAAACTTCTTCGTAAATGTTTTGTTATGACCTCATGGAACTTAAACGTAAATGTTTTGTCATGACCTCATCGTAAATGTTTTGTCATGACCTCATCGTAAATGTTTTGTTATGATTTCATCGTATATGTTTTGTCAAGATTTCATCGAAACTAAACGTATATGTTTTGTCATGATTTCATCATACATGTTTTGTCATGATTTCATCGTATATGCTTTGTCATGATGATTTCATCGAAACTAAACGTATATGTTTTGTCATGATTTCATCGTACATGTTTTGTCAAGGTTTCATCGTATATGTTTTGTCAAGATTTCATCGTATATGTTTTGTCAAACATGAACGTAAATGTTTTGTCATGATTTCATCGTATATGCTTTGTCATGATGATTTCATCGAAACTAAACGTATATGTTTTGTCATGATTTCATCGTACATGTTTTGTCATGATTTCATCGTAAATGTTTTGTCATGACCTCATCGTAAATGTTTTGTTATGATTTCATCGTATATGCTTTGTCATGATGATTTCATCGAAACTAAACGTATATGTTTTGTCATGATTTCATCATACATGTTTTGTCATGATTTCATCGTATATGCTTTGTCATGATGATTTCATCGAAACTAAACGTATATGTTTTGTCATGATTTCATCGTACATGTTTTGTCAAGGTTTCATCGTATATGTTTTGTCAAGATTTCATCGTATATGTTTTGTCAAACATGAACGTAAATGTTTTGTCATGATTTCATCGTATATGCTTTGTCATGATGATTTCATCGAAACTAAACGTATATGTTTTGTCATGATTTCATCGTACATGTTTTGTCATGATTTCATCGTAAATGTTTTGTCATGACCTCATCGTAAATGTTTTGTCATGATTTCATCGTATATGTTTTGTCAAGATTTCATCGTAATGAGTGTAAATGAACCAAAAATAATGTTTACGTTCATGTTTGACACAACAACACAGGAAATAAATGTTTACGTATATGTTTTGTCAAGACCTCATCGTATATGTTTTGTCATGATTTCTTCATCGTAATGAGCGTATATGTTTTGTCAAACATGAGCGTAAATGTTTTGTCAAGACTTCTTCGTATATGTTTTGTCATGATTTCTTCGTATATGTTTTGTCATGACTTCTTCATCGTAATGAGCGTAAATGTTTTGTCAAACATGAGCGTATATGTTTTGTCATGACTTCTTCATCGTAATGAGCGTATATGTTTTGTCATGATTTCTTCATCGTAATGAGCGTATATGTTTTGTCATGATTTCTTCGTATATGTTTTGTCATGACTTCTTCATCGTAATGAGCGTATATGCTTTGTCAAACATGAACGTAAATGTTTACGTCAATGGTTTCATCGTCAATGGTTTCGTCAATGGTTTCATCGTCAATGGTTTCGTCAATGGTTTCATCGTCAATGGTTTCGTCAAACTTAAACGTATATGCTTTGTCAAACATGAACGTAAATGTTTACGTCAATGGTTTCGTCAATGGTTTCGTCAATGGTTTCATCGTCAATGGTTTCGTCAATGGTTTCATCGTCAATGGTTTCGTCAATGGTTTCATCGTCAATGGTTTCGTCAAACTTAAACGTATATGCTTTGTCAAACATGAACGTAAATGTTTACGTCAATGGTTTCGTCAATGGTTTCGTCAATGGTTTCATCGTCAATGGTTTCGTCAATGGTTTCATCGTCAATGGTTTCGTCAAACTTAAACGTATATGCTTTGTCAAACATGAACGTAAATGATCCAAAAATAATGTTTAGGGTAGATGGTTAGATCTACCCTCATTTCTACCCTCATGAATTTTCATACGGAATCTCTTCGTATATGTTTTGTCATGATTTCTTCATCGTAATGAGCGTATATGCTTTGTCAAACTTAAACGTATATGTTTTGTCATGACTTCTTCATCGTAATGAGCGTATATGTTTTGTCATGATTTCTTCGTATATGTTTTGTCATGACTTCTTCATCGTAATGAGCGTATATGTTTTGTCAAACATGAACGTATATGTTTTGTCATGATTTCTTCATCGTAATGAGCGTAAATGATCCAAAAATAATGTTTATGTTAGAATGTTAGATCTAACACCTTTTCTAACATGTTTTCTCACCTCATTGAATTTTCATGATTTCTTCATCGTAATGAGCGTATATGTTTTGTCAAACATGAGCGTATATGTTTTGTCATGATTTCTTCATCGTAATGAGCGTATATGTTTTGTCATGATTTCTTCATCGTAATGAGTGTAAATGTTTTGTCAAGACTTCTTCATCGGAATGAGTGTAAATGACCCAAAAATAATGTTTATGTTAGAATGTTAGATCTAACACCTTTTCTAACATGTTTTCTAACATGGAGGATTTCATTAGATATACACATTCTTCCCTAAACATTATTTTAGTTAAAGTCCATCAAATATTTTTAGGATACTTTCACCAAAAAATATTTATATCTAATGAAACAGTAAAGTATTATATCTATTAAATCGTCTATGATGTAAATTGTGTATAGAATGAAATGAAGGAAGAATGTGTATATCTAATGAAATCCTCCATGTTAGAAAACATGTTAGAAAAGGTGTTAGATCTAACATTCTAACATAAACATTATTTTTGGGTCATTTACACTCATTCCGATGAAGAAACCATTGACGATGAAACCATTGATGAAACCATTGACGAAACCATTGACGTAAACATTTACGTTCATGTTTGACAAAGCATATACGTTTAAGTTTGACGAAACCATTGACGATGAAACCATTGACGAAACCATTGACGATGAAGAAGTCATGAAAATTCAATGAGGTGAGAAAACATGTTAGAAAAGGTGTTAGATCTAACATTCTAACATAAACATTATTTTTGGATCATTTACGCTCATTACGATGAAGAAATCATGACAAAACATATACGCTCATTACGATGAAGAAATCATGACAAATCATTTACGCTCATTACGATGAAGAAGTCTTGACAAAACATATACGCTCATGTTTGACAAAACATATACGCTCATTACGATGAAGAAGTCATGAAAATTCAATGAGGTGAGAAAACATGTTAGAAAAGGTGTTAGATCTAACATTCTAACATAAACATTATTTTTGGATCATTTACGCTCATTACGATGAAGAAATCATGACAAAACATATACGTTCATGTTTGACAAAACATATACGCTCATTACGATGAAGAAGTCATGACAAAACATATACGAAGAAATCATGACAAAACATATACGCTCATTACGATGAAGAAGTCATGACAAAACATATACGTTTAAGTTTGACAAAGCATATACGCTCATTACGATGAAGAAATCATGACAAAACATATACGAAGAGATTCCGTATGAAAATTCATGAGGGTAGAAATGAGGGTAGATCTAACCATCTACCCTAAACATTATTTTTGGATCATTTACGTTCATGTTTGACAAAGCATATACGTTTAAGTTTGACGAAACCATTGACGACGAAACCATTGACGAAACCATTGACGATGAAACCATTGACGAAACCATTGACGTAAACATTTACGTTCATGTTTGACAAAGCATATACGTTTAAGTTTGACGAAACCATTGACGATGAAACCATTGACGAAACCATTGACGATGAAACCATTGACGAAACCATTGACGATGAAACCATTGACGAAACCATTGACGTAAACATTAACGTTCATGTTTGACAAAGCATATACGTTTAAGTTCCATGAGGTCATGACAAAACATATACGTTTAAGTTCCATGAGGTCATGACAAAACATTTACGTTTAAGTTCCATGAGGTCATAACAAAACATTTACGTTTAAGTTCCATGAGGTCATGACAAAACATATACGTTTAAGTTCCATGAGGTCATGACAAAACATTTACGTTTAAGTTCCATGAGGTCATAACAAAACATTTACGTTTAAGTTCCATGAGGTCATGACAAAACATTTACGTTTAAGTTCCATGAGGTCATAACAAAACATTTACGATGAGGTCATGTTAGAAAACATGTTAGAAAAGGTGTTAGATCTAACCATCTACCCTAAACATTATTTTTGGATCATTTACGTTCATGTTTGACAAAGCATATACGTTTAAGTTTGACGAAACCATTGACGATGAAACCATTGACGAAACCATTGACGAAACCATTAACGATGAAACCATTGACGAAACCATTGACGAAACCATTGACGATGAAACCATTGACGAAACCATTAACGTAAACATTTACGCTCATGTTTGACAAAGCATATACGTTTAAGTTTGACGAAACCATTGACGATGAAACCATTGACGATGAAACCATTGACGATGAAACCATTGACGAAACCATTAACGATGAAACCATTGACGAAACCATTGACGTAAACATTTACGCTCATGTTTGACAAAGCATATACGTTTAAGTTTGACGAAACCATTGACGATGAAACCATTGACGATGAAACCATTGACGAAACCATTAACGATGAAACCATTGACGAAACCATTGACGAAACCATTGACGATGAAACCATTGACGAAACCATTGACGATGAAACCATTGACGAAACCATTGACGTAAACATTTACGTTCATGTTTGACAAAGCATATACGTTTAAGTTTGACGAAACCATTAACGTAAACATTAACGTTCATGTTTGACAAAGCATATACGCTCATTACGATGAAGAAGTCATGACAAAACATATACGAAGAAATCATGACAAAACATATACGCTCATTACGATGAAGAAATCATGACAAAACATATACGCTCATTACGATGAAGAAGTCATGACAAAACATATACGCTCATTACGATGAAGAAGTCATGACAAAACATATACGCTCATGTTTGACAAAACATTTACGCTCATTACGATGAAGAAGTCATGACAAAACATATACGAAGAAGTCTTGACAAAACATTTACGCTCATGTTTGACAAAACATATACGCTCATTACGATGAAGAAATCATGACAAAACATATACGATGAGGTCTTGACAAAACATATACGTAAACATTTATTTCCTGTGTTGTTGTCAAACATGAACGTAAACATTATTTTTGGTTCATTTACACTCATTACGATGAAATCTTGACAAAACATATACGATGAAATCATAACAAAACATTTACGATGAGGTCATGACAAAACATTTACGATGAAATCATGACAAAACATGTACGATGAAATCATGACAAAACATATACGTTTAGTTTCGATGAAATCATCATGACAAAGCATATACGATGAAATCATGACAAAACATATACGATGAGGTCTTGACAAAACATATACGATGAAATCTTGACAAAACATATACGATGAAACCTTGACAAAACATGTACGATGAAATCATGACAAAACATATACGTTTAGTTTCGATGAAATCATCATGACAAAGCATATACGATGAAATCATGACAAAACATGTATGATGAAATCATGACAAAACATATACGTTTAGTTTCGATGAAATCATCATGACAAAGCATATACGATGAAATCATAACAAAACATTTACGATGAGGTCATGACAAAACATTTACGATGAAATCATGACAAAACATGTACGATGAAATCATGACAAAACATATACGTTTAGTTTCGATGAAATCATCATGACAAAGCATATACGATGAAATCATGACAAAACATTTACGTTCATGTTTGACAAAACATATACGATGAAATCTTGACAAAACATATACGATGAAACCTTGACAAAACATGTACGATGAAATCATGACAAAACATATACGTTTAGTTTCGATGAAATCATCATGACAAAGCATATACGATGAAATCATGACAAAACATGTATGATGAAATCATGACAAAACATATACGTTTAGTTTCGATGAAATCTTGACAAAACATATACGATGAAATCATAACAAAACATTTACGATGAGGTCATGACAAAACATTTACGATGAGGTCATGACAAAACATTTACGTTTAAGTTCCATGAGGTCATAACAAAACATTTACGAAGAAGTTTTGACAAAACATTTACGATGAGGTCATGACAAAACATTTACGAAGAAGTTTTGACAAAACATTTACGTTTAAGTTCCATGAGGTCATGACAAAACATTTACGATGAGGTCATGACAAAACATATACGTTTAAGTTCCATGAGGTCATGTTAGAAAACATGTTAGAAAAGGTGTTAGATCTAACATTCTAACATAAACATTATTTTTGGATCATTTACACTCATTACGAAGAAATCATGACAAAACATATACGAAGAAGTCTTGACAAAACATATACGAAGAAACCTTGACAAAACATATACGAAGAAACCTTGACAAAACATATACGTTCATGTTTGACAAAACATATACGATGAAGTCATGACAAAACATTTACGAAGAAGTCATGACAAAGCATATACGATGAGGTCATGACAAAACATATACGAAGAAACCTTGACAAAGCATATACGTTTAAGTTCCATGAGGTCATGACAAAACATTTACGTTTAAGTTCCATGAGGTCATGTTAGAAAACATGTTAGAAAAGGTGTTAGATCTAACATTCTAACATAAACATTATTTTTGGGTCATTTACACTCATTACGATGAGGTCATAACAAAACATTTACGTTTAAGTTCCATGAGGTCATGACAAAGCATATACGATGAGGTCATGACAAAACATTTACGATGAGGTCATGACAAAACATATACGAAGAAACCTTGACAAAGCATATACGATGAAGAAATCATGACAAAACATTTACGTTTAAGTTCCATGAGGTCATGACAAAGCATATACAATGAAGAAATCATGACAAAACATTTACGTTTAAGTTCCATGAGGTCATGACAAAACATTTACGTTTAAGTTCCATGAGGTCATGACAAAACATTTACGTTTAAGTTCCATGAGGTCATGTTAGAAAACATGTTAGAAAAGGTGTTAGATCTAACATTCTAACATAAACATTATTTTTGGGTCATTTACACTCATTACGATGAGGTCATAACAAAACATTTACGTTTAAGTTCCATGAGGTCATGACAAAGCATATACGATGAGGTCATGACAAAACATTTACGATGAGGTCATGACAAAACATATACGAAGAAACCTTGACAAAGCATATACGATGAAGAAATCATGACAAAACATTTACGTTTAAGTTCCATGAGGTCATGACAAAGCATATACAATGAAGAAATCATGACAAAACATTTACGTTTAAGTTCCATGAGGTCATGACAAAACATTTACGTTTAAGTTCCATGAGGTCATGACAAAACATTTACGTTTAAGTTCCATGAGGTCATAACAAAACATTTACGTTTAAGTTCCATGAGGTCATGACAAAACATTTACGTTTAAGTTCCATGAGGTCATAACAAAACATTTACGATGAGGTCATGTTAGAAAACATGTTAGAAAAGGTGTTAGATCTAACATTCTAACATAAACATTATTTTTGGATCATTTACACTCATTACGAAGAAGTTTTGACAAAACATTTACGTTCATGTTTGACAAAACATATACGCTCATTACGATGAAGAAGTCATGACAAAACATATACGAAGAAGTCATGACAAAACATATACGAAGAAATCATGACAAAACATATACGCTCATTACGATGAAGAAGTTTTGACAAAACATTTACGTTCATTACGATGAAGAAATCATGACAAATCATTTACGCTCATTACGATGAAGAAGTCATGACAAAACATATACGTTCATGTTTGACAAAACATATACGTTCATGTTTGACAAAACATATACGCTCATTACGATGAAGAAATCATGACAAAACATATACGCTCATTACGATGAAGAAATCATGAAAATTCAATGAGGTGAGAAAACATGTTAGAAAAGGTGTTAGATCTAACATTCTAACATAAACATTATTTTTGGATCATTTACGCTCATTACGATGAAGAAATCATGACAAAACATATACGTTCATTACGATGAAGAAATCATGACAAATCATTTACGCTCATGTTTGACAAAACATTTACGCTCATTACGATGAAGAAGTCATGACAAAACATATACGAAGAAGTTTCGACAAAACATGTACGATTAAATCATGACAAAACATTTACGAAGAAGTCTTGACAAAACATTTACGTTCATGTTTGACAAAACATTTACGCTCATTACGATGAAGAAATCATGACAAAACATATACGCTCATTACGATGAAGAAGTCTTGACAAAACATTTACACTCATTACGATGAAGAAGTCATGACAAAACATGTACGATGAAGAAATCATGACAAAACATTTACGCTCATGTTTGACAAAGAATATACGTTCATTACGATGAAGAAATCATGACAAAACATTTACGATGAAGTTTCGACAAAACATTTACACTCATTACGATGAAGAAATCATGACAAATCATTTACGAAGAGATTCCGTATGAAAATTCAAGACCCTTTGGGTCTCGCCGCTTAGCGGCTGAGGGTAGAAATGAGGGTAGAAATGAGGGTAGATCTAACCATCTACCCTAAACATTATTTTTGGGTCATTTACGTTCATGTTTGACAAAACATTTACACTCATTACGATGAAGAAATCATGACAAAACATTTACACTCATTACGATGAAGAAGTCTTGACAAAACATGTACGATGAAGTTTCGACAAAACATTTACACTCATTACGATGAAGAAGTCTTGACAAATCATTTACGCTCATGTTTGACAAAACATTTACACTCATTACGATGAAGAAATCATGACAAAACATTTACGCTCATGTTTGACAAAACATATACGAAGAAACCTTGACAAAGCATATACGATGAAGAAATCATGAAAATTCAAGACCCTTTGGGTCTCGCCGCTTAGCGGCTGAGGTAAGAAAAGAGGTGAGAAAAGAGGTGAGATCTCACCACTTCACCTAAAATATATTTTTGTCTGATTTACACTCATTACGATGAAGAAGTCATGACAAAACATATACGATGAAATCATCATGACAAAACATTTACGAAGAAGAAATCATGACAAATCATTTACGTTCATGTTTGACAAATCATTTACGATGAAGAAATCATGAAAATCCTCCATGTTAGAAAACATGTTAGAAAAGGTGTTAGATCTAACATTCTAACATAAACATTATTTTTGGGTCATTTACGTTCATTACGATGAAGAAATCATGACAAAACATATACGAAGAAACCTTGACAAAGCATATACGATGAAGAAATCATGAAAATTCAAGACCCTTTGGGTCTCGCCGCTTAGCGGCTGAGGTGAGAAAAGAGGTGAGAAAAGAGGTGAGATCTCACCACTTCACCTAAAATATATTTTTGTCTGATTTACACTCATTATGATGAAGAAGTCATGACAAAACATATACGATGAAATCATCATGACAAAACATTTACGAAGAAGAAATCATGACAAATCATTTACGTTCATGTTTGACAAAGAATATACGATGAAGAAATCATGAAAATTCAAGACCCTTTGGGTCTCGCCGCTTAGCGGCTGAGGTGAGAAAAGAGGGTAGAAATGAGGTTAGATCTAACCATCTACCCTAAACATTATTTTTGTCTGATTTACGCTCATTACGATGAAGAAGTCATGACAAAACATTTACACTCATTACGATGAAGAAGTCATGACAAAACATTTACACTCATTACGATGAAGAAGTCTTGACAAATCATTTACGAAGAAGTTTCGACAAAGCATATACGAAGAAACCTTGACAAAGCATATACGATGAAGAAATCATGAAAATTCAAGACCCTTTGGGTCTCGCCGCTTAGCGGCTGAGGTGAGAAAAGAGGTGAGATCTCACCACTTCACCTAAAATATATTTTTGTCTGATTTACGCTCATTACGATGAAGAAGTCATGACAAATCATTTACACTCATTACGATGAAGAAATCATGACAAAACATTTACGCTCATGTTTGACAAAACATATACGAAGAAACCTTGACAAAGCATATACGATGAAGAAATCATGAAAATTCAAGACCCTTTGGGTCTCGCCGCTTAGCGGCTGAGGTGAGAAAAGAGGTGAGAAAAGAGGTTAGATCTAACCATCTACCCTAAACATTATTTTTGGGTCATTTACACTCATTACGATGAAGAAGTTTCGACAAAACATTTACACTCATTACGATGAAGAAATCATGACAAATCATTTACGATGAAGAAATCATGACAAAACATTTACGCTCATGTTTGACAAAACATATACGATGAAGAAGTCTTGACAAAACATTGACGTTCATGTTTGACAAAGAACATACGATGAAGAAATCATGACAAACCATTGACGATGAAGAAATCATGACAAAACATTTACGTTCATGTTTGACAAAACATTTACACTCATTACGATGAAGAAATCATGAAAATTCAAGACCCTTTGGGTCTCGCCGCTTAGCGGCTGAGGTGAGAAAACATGTTAGAAAACGTGTTAGATCTAACATTCTAACATAAACATTATTTTTGGATCATTTACACTCATTACGATGAAAAAGTCATGACAAAACATTTACGCTCATTACGATGAAGAAGTTTCGACAAATCATGACAAAACATGTACGATGAAGTTTTGACAAAACATATACGTTCATGTTTGACAAAACATATACACTCATTACGATGAAGAAATCATGAAAATTCAAGACCCTTTGGGTCTCGCCGCTTAGCGGCTGAGGTTAGAAATGAGGTTAGAAAACGTGTTAGATCTAACATTCTAACATAAACATTATTTTTGTGCTATGTTTTCATACGTGTGAGGGTGGTGATATCATTTATTTTTAAGTTTATTTTTATATAAATGACGAAAACTATTGAGATAACAAACTACAACGGTCATGAGTTCAAGAATTTGTTCTTCGTTCCTCGTGAAAATACATTCTATCAGATACGAGGGAGAAAGGGTAAAGTTAGTTTGAGCGTTTATGACAACAAACATAATGGGAGATATATAAAAGCAATAGATACAAACGGTAAGCGTGTTTCATTAGCTTTGTCAAAACTTACTAACATTTATTTTGACAGTGACTTTGACTCTGACGATTGGAGTGACAGCAGCGATACTGAAGAATATGAACTATTGTGTGAAGCACAGCAATGGGAAGCGCTGCAATACTTTTGTAAATGAGAACATTAGTGGGAACGTTAGTGAGAACGTTTATTTTTTCATTAGTGAAGTCGTTAGTGAAGTCATTAGTGAAGTCATTAGTGAAGTCATTTATGTGTCAGACGGTTTTGTAAATATTTAAGGTTAAGTTGGGTAAGGTGGAACGCAGTGCCGCCGTACCCAAGTTATGTATACTAACTGGTGGCAAGATGAGAGAATTTGTGAAGAGAAGTAGAAAGCGAGACGGTTCTGCAAGAAGTTATATTTACGAAGCAAGTATGATATTAGAAGGTCGTGGAAAGAAAGAAACAGTGAATTATGAGGAAGTGCTTGAAAAATTCATGGAGTACATGGGAAGCAATATAACATACAACAAAGACATATACAGTGAGTTTAAGTACTACTGTGAACAGCATGAGATTGAAGTAATGAGTAAAGGAGACTTTGAAACGCTTATGAAAGACAGTAAGGAGGTCGTTCATGAGAACAGTGTTGAAATAGTTCATGAGAACAGTGAGGAGGTCATACATGAATGCAATGATGAAATAGTTCATGAGAACAGTGAGGAGGTCATACATGAATGCAATGATGAAATAGTTCATGAGAACAGTGAGGAGGTCATACATGAATGCAATGATGAAATAGTTCATGAGAACAGTGAGGAGGTCATACATGAGAACAGTGTTGAAATAGTTCATGAGAACAGTAAGGAGGTCATACATGAATGCAATGATGAAATAGTTCACGATGTCGTTCGTGAAGAAGCCATTGCAACAAAGAATGAGATAAAGGATTTCATAGAACTTAACAAGGAGGAGTTTAAAGAAGGCTATGAAGTGAAAAGATGTGAAGAAGATTTCTTGGCGTATTTGAAGAAAAAGAGACTAAAGCCAATGGCTCAAAATAAGTTTCAATCGATGTTTGAAAAGAAACGTTTGAGCTATGGTGGTGTAAGAAGCACATATTACTTTGTTAAGAAGTGAGGACATTTATTTTTGTCGTTAGTGTTGGAGTTTGTGTTTGTTGTTAGTGTTTGTCATTTGTGCTGAAGTTAGTACTTGATGTTAGTGTTGAAGTTTGTGTTTGTTGTTAGTGAGAGAATAAATTAAATCATGAACTTTGCCATGGTCTCTGTCCCTAGTAGTTTTTATTAAGTTCTGGAAATAATGAAAGTCATAAACTTTGCCATGGTCTCTGTCCCTAGTAGTTTTCATTATCTCACAGAGTTAATGAAAGTCATACTTTCTATCAGATGAAGCATGCAGATGAACATAATGAAAGTTAGTGAGTTTGCCACGAGTTATGAATAAAATATTGGCATATTAGATGAGATAGCTGATGAAACAGATGAAGATAAATTAAATCTTGGACTTTGCCACACTCTGTCCCTAGTTCCTCAAAATCCTTGACAACGTTGCTTAGAAATTTTGGTTCAAAACCTCATCTGATTTTAATCTGTTATGCTACCTGTTAAGTTTCGCGAGATTATAAATGTCATGGAGTTATATAAAAAGGAGGGACAGCTAGGGACACTGGAAGTACTTGTAAGGCTATCTGTTAAGATTGCATGAAATACTAAAAAGTCATGAAATCCATTATCGCTGTGCTAGCTTCACCTTTGATTGAAATGACGACTAAAGTCACTGAAGCAATGAAACAAAAGTTTTTGGTAGAATACATTAAATCAGGAACTATTCCAGAAGGTTTTTACATTCATACTATGAAGGATGGTAGAGTTCAGTTTAGAAAGATAAAGCAATCATTAGATAAAGAAGGAATTTTGAGAAAGATTAAACTTCATGAGGACAACATTGCTGAACTTAAGAAGAAGTTAGAAGAGTTGGAGAAAGGAAGAGAGTTATAAAGCAATGAGAACGTTTATGTTATGAGAAATTTTTAACGTTAGTTTTATTTTTACTGAAAATTTTTATTTGGATGTAATGACGAAAACTATTGAGATAACAAACTACAACGGTCATGAGTTCAAGAACTTGTTCTTCGTTCCGCGTGAGAATACATTCTATCAGATACGAGGGAGAAAGGGTAAAGTTAGTTTAAGCATTTATGATAGCAAACATAATGGAAGATATATACAAGCAGTAGATACAAACGGTAAGCGTGTTTCATTACATTTGTCAAAACTTATAAACATTAATTATGACAGCGACTTTGACTCAGACGATTGGAGCGACAGTAGTGAGTCAGAAGATTATGAGCTGTTATGTGAAGCACAGCAATGGGAGGAGTTGCAATACTTTTGTAAGTGAGAACATTAGTGTGTACGTTAGTGAGAACGTTAGTGAGAACGTTTATTTTTTCATGCACGTGCATTGTGTCGCGGGGAGTTGCCATGGGCAATGACCTGCGCACAATATATAACGTACAGAGAGGTGAGATGAGGTGGTTTATGTGATAAATACTTTACGTGGCAGAAATAGTTTAAGGTTATTAGAAATATTGCATCTGTGATGTAAAATATACGTTAGTGGTTTTGTAAAGTGTCAGATTGACATATCTTCGGTAAGATGGCGCGCAGTGCCACCGTACTGAAGATATGTATACTAACTGTTGGATTTGGTTGCCAACTAGACTGTGGTGCAGGTTCAGGCTGTTGTATAACAGGAGCTTGTTCTTCTGGTTCAGGGTCTTTAGGTATAATACCAACAAACTGACCTACTCTTTTACCAATATTTTTGACACCGTTCCATACTCCTCTTCCGACAGATTTTATTCCATTCCATATACCTCTTCCAACATTTCGAAAGAAGTTTCCTATCTTACTGAAGAAACCCATTTTACTATATGTAAAAATCTAATGTCCGCCAAGTCTCTTACGTTTCCTGTTGAGTTCCATAGCATTCTTTAACTGGAGCTCATACATTCTGTTTCTCCTCTGGTAGAAAACATATTCTGGGTCAACTCCTGTGTTCGCGTCATCTGCATAAAGTTGTTTATATCCCACTTCAGGGTTTGTATAAAACTCTTTCCATCTCATATTTGCATACCATGGTGGCAAACCTAACGCAGCGTCATTTGACATGGCAGTTTGCATTTGTACATCTGTTAGCACCTGACCATAGTTTGCCATTGCAGTTTGTATTCTAACTTCATTTGGAATATTCTCTGGGTTTTGTTGTCCAGGTTGCTGTGCATTCGCTAAGTTCTGTGCGTCCATTTAATATTAGATAAAAATATCTCTTACGAGTACATATGCTGAACATTTGCAGGCATTGGTTCATCTTCATATTCTCTGTACTTTTCTGCCACGTCAAAGAAATAAATGACACAATGGAAAAAACCTAAAACAAGTAGTCCTATTTCAAACCACATTTACTTACTAATAAAATTTCTTTATTGTGACACTTTCTCCAGTTTATAGGACCTCTCTCATATTCTATCTTGTCATATATAAACTCATAGTCATGTATGTCCTCTAACCATCTCATAACGGTTTCCAAACCACTTTTATCGGATGTAAAGTAAAAGCATGGATGGTTATGTATAACGTCTAAAGTTTCTAAAGAGTCTCTCAAAGTCCAGTCTACTTGGTATTGAAAATCCCATGTGTTATAGAACGGCGGGTCCACTATAAAGAAAACATTTTCCTTGTCTTTATATTTTTCATACAACTCTGTCCAATGACATCTCACAAACTCTATACCCTCAATATATTTTTCTATGTCCTCTTTGAAAACATTTGTATAGTTAAGATATAAAACTTTTGACATAAGTGTTTCAATGTCATGAACTCTTATAGCACCACTATATAATAGTCTAGCAGATATACTATCCCAGTCTATATATTCTGCTTTTTTCAAAACCTCTCTCACAATATTTTTCTTATCTAATGGTATACGTTCCATCTTACCTATAGGTATCTTTTCTTTTAACTCTTTCAATATATTGTTTGTGTCTGGAATATGTTTGAGACGGTCCATATAGTTGTCGAAGTCATTGCATATAATCTTTGAGTCAGGAAATACGGTATGACATAAATGGGATATATAGAAACTTCCACCGAACAAATCTACAAATGTTAGACCATTCGGTAGTTTCTTAAGTTCTCTCAATATAATATCTTTACATCTACTCTTATTTCCAAAGAACGGTAACGGTGGTTTTGTAAAATTCATTTATATATTATAATAAAAATGTTTTTACCCGAAAAGTGACAAAACATGAAAACATATATAATTTGTGAAAAGCGACACAAAAAGTGATATTTTAAAAAGTGACACTATTAATATGATGTAAATAACAACGGTTTTGGTTTTGTCACCGGCTGGTCGGCTGGGGTTCGGTCCTCCTCTTGGGTCTTGGGCAAAATTTCTTATGGGCTAGAGGGCGCAACGCGCCTGGAAGCCCCACCTACCTGACCTAATTTAAGCTTGATTTCTTTCGTTTAGCAATATTTTGTAATATTATACTAAATAACGGTTTTGGTTTTCAGAGCTTTTTTTTCAAAATGATTATTTGAGAAGGAAATTAATAACAAATGGCTATTTATAAATATTCTTCGTTATTGGATTCTGTATTAAATTCCATATTTTAACCAAAATGTCATTTTTTGAATGTCATAAATACCCGTGATAATATTGATTTTTCATTTCATCTACATCTTGTTCGATCATATGATACATTGGAGCCAAATTTCCTGTTAAAATTTGGTGAAAATATTAAGGCCTAAATTTATCGATTTATCTTGCTACAAATGCATTAATAAGATTGATATTCATCCAAATATTTATCTGATTGTATCATAAATTGAACAATTTTTTAAAAATTAATTCAATTCTAGCTATTTCGCTATCACTATATGATTTTCGACTTAAACTGGTAGATTTATGATATTTATTATCGACTAGCTATATTATAACCATCAATTTTTTAAATTCGTCACATTAGTTATAAGAGTTTTAATAGTTCTGCGAATCATATTAATCTCACTCATAATTTTAATCAAAATAATGATCTACTGTAAACCCATCCATTATTTTTCCTTGAATGGAACTTTGCTATTTTTTTTCAGTTGATTGATTAACTTCACCAAAATTGGTTATTCATTCACGAAATTCTATCGAGATAGACACATTTACTAAAATGTCCATGCTCATACTTAGTAGATCAAAGTTTTGGATATGAAACACTGTTTCATATCATTATTATAAATACGAAAGAAAATTTTATTATAGCTCCAAAAATACAAATTATATCTCATTGACGAGCACACACACCAAGAAAAACTTATCCATTGTTTGGTTTTTTTCTTTCGATTTATAGATCAAAGTTGTTTCTTTTAACCCTTTCGGGAGCTCATTATAATAAGTTCATGAATTTCGTTTGGACCTTTAAAACTTATTCATTTCCGCATACGTACTATATTTCTGAAAGTTTTACACTTGTTTGAAAAACTTTAACTAAACGTCGAGTTTACTATTCTAGTAGTTTCCTTTCTTTGAGAAATCGAAGCGAAATTTTACGAAAAAGTAGACTTTATTACGATTCTTAAACCAACTATACCAAATCCTACTGATTGAACGGCAATAAGCTAATATCCAATTGTTTACCTTTAAATTTTTCTTTATATTTTTGAAAATTAAATTTCCTTGTTTATTCTGAGTCCTATACTAGGATGGTATCTATTTTGTGCATAATATGAAATAATTTGCTGAGCAACCATTCTGTCACTATATTCAATTTGAAAGTGGGTAAAACCTTGAGGAAATCTAAATTTATTCCTTTAGATCTGTGTTTTGTCAGCATGTAAGGCAGTTTAATATCCTGAATATGATTTATTTTGTGTTATTGTTCGAATTCTAACTGAAATTTGAAGAATTTTCGTTATTTTCAAGGATCTAATATGTGCTGTTTGATTGTTAGTTATTTAATGGTTGTTTCAGCTTTAAACTCTCTTATATCATGGAAATAAACAATTAAATGAAAGTCAAAATAAATATTGAATGATTTAAATCATGAAAACCTAATTATAGACTTAAAATAATATATGTTCCAGGTTTTAATTTTCCAAAATTTTTTTGAAAATCTGGATTTTGATAAATTTTTCTACAAATTCCATTTTAGTTTTTCAAAAATGAAAAAATTTTGGAAAACAAAATATCTGATTTATAGCTCGAGGAGCTCCCATATGATAAGAGAAGTAGGCCTAAAAGAAATGATCAAGTTTGTGTGATTTGACTTCATTTTGGTTGTGAAATATTGGTTTCATATTGAATATTTTTCGGTGTTTTATTCAAAAGCTGACGTACCACCGTTTACCACACAAGAATTAATGAAGAATATTAATGATTTTCCTCATTGTTACTGTTAAAATAAAATTATTCAAAAATAATTTCGTTACACTGTTTGGTAATCGGAATGCAGATAAGGTAATATTTAAGATAATATTATCGCAATGCTTTATTCAACGGAAATTTAAAAACAAAAATTGTCATTCAGACAATCTATATTAGTAGGTCGATTCATTATTCAAATCAGTTGGCTCTGGAGAAGGTGTAGTCTGGAAAGTTGAATTCCTAAGAATTGGACGAATAGTGTTAAGTTTGACGTTTGTTTCAGGGTTTTTATCAACAACCTTCATTCCATTATCATCTACAACCTTCTCTTGCTTTGTTTCTGTTTCTTCATTAACAAGATCATCATTCCGGGTGTTATTCTTATCTTGCTTGTAATTTATCTTTTGCAATGTAGTCTTCGCACGGTTGGATTGTTTAAGAGAGTTTAAGAATGTCTGAAAATCTGTTTTCGGTTGATGGGGTGTTTTTCCTCTATTTCTCTCTATTTCTGCGAGTTCTCTGTATTTCATGGCTTCCTCATACATAAGGTTCTGCCTGTAAATAGCTTGCCTCTTTTCATAAACAACCAATCTTGGATTGAGCGGAGGCCTGGAAATATCAATGGCCGGCTTGAGATCTCGGAGCGCTTCAAAGTGCTTTCGATCTTTATCAAGTCGGACTTGTCTGTCAATAATTCGGTTAACGACTTTAGGAGCTCTGTACATTTATATTTTTGAAATCAAGATAAATCAACCGTTAATATTCAATTAAAATTTTTTGTCATGTAAAAAATTTTTCATGAAAAGAGAAATCCACAAATCAGTTTCGCATTAATGAATATGCTGATAAGACAACAATATGGATGAAAATAGAATCATCTAACGCAAAATCTAATAGGAAATAACTCATTTTTTTAATTGAATTTATATTTCTTCTTCTCAAATAATTTACAGATAGAATTAAGCTTATGTTCCATAAAATAGTAATATCTTCAAAGGATATATGTGTAAGATCAAGGAAAAATAAATTTGTTTATATCTCAAGTATAAAGATAGAACTATTAATTTCAGTTCTCAATAACTGACACACATAGAAGCAATTTATTTAGCAAACTTATGAATTATTAAATTTATGGATAGTTTATCTAATGATGAGGCAATTGCGATGGTCATAATTCGTAATCAGAATTTTCACTTAAAATTTGTATTACTTACAATGAATATATTATAAATATATAATGAATATAAGAATATAATGGTGTACAGAAAATTTGATCGATAAAATAAGCAAATATTGATGTATTTATGTAATAATCAATAAAGAATATTATATCTCAATACAAAAATAGCAAGAATTTATTTTGCATTAGTCTTTCAGGCAGAAATGAATTTTCTTCAGTATACAAAAGATGACATAGTTTGGATATAGAATTCCGAAGTATGTAATTGCCCAACAATAATGTATATAAAGGAGTATCAGTTGGTTGTGGTTTGAAAAATGCAAATTGTCGTTAATGGCTAGTATGAACATTTTTCACAAAAAATAATTAGATAGTAATAGTGGATGTCCCATATAAGGAAAATTACAAATTCGCAATTGAAAATTTAAAATCGAAAATATATCTTTAATTTGGCATATTAGTGTTCATTTTCACTCCAAAAAGTTTTGTTAATAAATTGAGAGTCATAAAAAGGGAAGCTCAGAAAAGTATTTGTATTATACTCAGAAATGTAGAAAATAAAATTAAGATTAATGGAAACAATTTTAGGTAATACGTCGATGATATTCAACAAAATTTTTGAGAACTTTAGAAAAAGAGACTAAAGAATTGAGGATAAAATTTTACATTTAATAAAATCAATTGACATGATATAGCTTAAAGTAGGAGTATCAGTAAAAAATTAATTAGCAGTTCTCAAATTTTGAGTTGAATCAATTTATCTATTCAAAACCAAAATATCATTTTTGAATTCGGATGGAACCCTCCTTGTTTCGTGAAATCATCTTGACACGCAAGACAAAGAACTATAAACGTTACACAGCCCAGTCCCAGAGAGATTATGAATGTATTAAAAAGAGAATGATGGTCAATGGGGTGAAGACAGATTACGTTTCCGCTTATATGGAAAAGCAAATAGGTGAACATGTTACATTAGTGAACCTTCTCTCAATTGCAGAAGTGATAAGCAATCAGCTCAACTTAAAGATCGACAGGCTTGCTAAACGTAATCGATCTGCATTATTATGCTGGTATGCAGAAAACTGGGATAAAATTAGTCCATTATTATTAGTAATGAACAATAAGCTCCGTAGTTTCATCAGATCACCGAAGAAGTGTGATTCAAAGGAATATACATTTAGCAATTCAAGTAGTGACGAATATTTTGATCCATCAGATATTAATACACTACTTAATGCACATTAATACCTAATTTTTTGTTATGAATAAAATTGTTAATATTATAATTGAATATTTATTGAATATATAGAATTTTTTTGATTGAAAAGTTTATTGAAAGATAATTCAATTGCTAATTAATGATATATCGATTCACATTCTATAGTAGAATGGAATAATAACATTTTCCAGGTGTCCAACTATAAGCGGTTAAATAAAGTTCTGAAATTGAGACAGTCAATTGTTAACTAAAAACTCACTAATTTTATTTAGATATGGTTTTTACATAAATCAATCATGCTAATAATTTTAATTCAAATAAAATTTTTATGCAGAAATGTAATAATTAGCCAAATGCATAGAATATAGACAATTCTGTTAGTTTGCAATTTTTTATTCCAAACTATTTTCAATACTTTCAATTTTTTGCTCTTTTTAATATATATCAATATTCATATTACTGCTAATTCATTAAAAGAGGATAACCAACTATTCAATAATTGTGAAGATAGCGTTCTTGGTTTGAATGGACGACCACTTAAATAACATTTAAAAATTGTGAATCCAACAATTATTTGAATAGAACGTTTAATCGAGAACGTTGAGAAGAAACAAATTGAAGCTTTCCCAGTCAACTATTAATTTAATAATAATTACTTATTTTAATATTTGCTTTCAATTTTTTGATTTTTAATTTACTATTTCATTTCATTTTATTAATTTTACGTCATCGTACAATCAAAATTTGAAGTTCTCAATTCATTTATTTCTTCAACTGTCAAATTTATTTCTCTTGTAGCTTTAAATGCAAATTAATATTCTTTAATTTTCATCAATTGTCAGCTCGTCCTCAATTTTTTTAATTGCTAACTGTTAATTTTTTTAACCACTTTAATTTCTTATTACCACTTACATACTATTAAATATTTCTATCATTAAAATTTAATCTTCTCAATTCTCTTATTCATTTATCTCCCATTTTATTTCTTGCTTATGTTTATACAATTAAATATTACTGATTTAATTATCATCATCACAAATCTCAATTATCTTTTTCAAATTCTATTTTCCTTATAAAGTTCAATAATATAAGCACTTCAGCCCTTCCACTATTTCTCAATATCTTCTACCTCTATTCTTTAAAAACAATATAATCATCTAACAATATATTTATTGTTCATATTTTTTTTTGATTTTTCCCATATCTAATGATCCATTTTTAATTCTAATGATTCATCTTTTTATTGTAACTTCCATTTTGTAATTTCATAATATTACTATATAGCGCCTTAATTCAATATCAATTACTTGAACGAGAAAACATATCTAACATTATTACAAATTTTTACAGCAAAACAATGAATTTTACAGTTTAATATAGTAAAAGGAGAATGATTAATTTGCAATTTTCAATTAAATAGTAAACAACAGAAATTTTATGTTTCTATCCTGCAATGATATTTGGAGCGAGTGTATCTCGAAATTTATGAAGTAAAGATTTGTTCAATGGTATTTTCATCAAAGTCAAACATCTCAAACACGTCTGGATTGGGAATTGATTTTATACATTGGTCTATATGCTCGATAGAAGGGTTCACAACAATATTTGTGCTTCTATTATTTTTTTGATCCATTTTTAACTTTTTCTCTTTTCTTCTTTGCCTCAATTTGAACCTATTTCGAATACAATTTCCAGATCTATTTGGAAAGATATCAGCAATTTTATGCCATCTGGAACCATATTCCTCGTAAAGCTCATCCAAAAGATCATCTTCCTCTTTTGTCCAAGGTTCATTGCTTAAATTCGGCGCAATATAATTGATCCAGCGCTCTCGACATTGCCTTGGGGTTCGATTTTTCATATTTTTGGAAATTATGTCCCAATCTGCGGCACCAATTTTAGAAACTAGATCTGTTAGCATTTTATCTTCCTCTGCAGTGAACTTTATCTTTGGTACAAATCCTTTTTTATTGGCTTTCTTGTTGATCATTTTTTGAAAAATATGAATTTTTTTATAGCTAAAAAATTAAAAATTACTAGATATCCAATTCTAGTATAAATTTAATATCGACTTGCGTAATAAAATTGTATAAACTAATTCAAAGCAAAATTTCAATGTGAACACACAAATTTAATTCTATGGAAAGTTTATTATAAATCAATTATTCCGAAAAATATTATACTAATCGTTTCCTAATACGTAGCACTTTCAAAGTTATTGAAAACTTCGGTATTTCAAAAGTTTGAATATTATTGAATATTAACAAATCAATTTTTATATATATATTGGCTTAATAATCAATATAAATTTAAAATGCAATCCTTATTGGGCATTATCAACGAAACAGTATTGAAAAACTGAATTCGTTAGTAAAATTTTGAATTGACAATTGACGATAAAATTAAATATCCATTCAATACAAATTCAATGGCTTCTAATCAATTTTATTGATTTTTGAGAATACTTATAAAAATTTATAGGAATCTATGGAATAATGAATTATTTAATGCCTGTTGCAGCAAAATCCCCAATCAGGCAAGTTGGCCATAAATATCGAACTAATCCCAAAAAATGAAATCCAGCAATTTAATAACATATGATAAATTACCACATTTATTGTCAAAAGTACTTTAATTATTTTCATACTTGATTTTCATATCAATTATATTTCATCCAATTGATTTTTTGATTGAAAAACATCAATTTTAATTCAAAAAAATCATATTTGACATTGATCTAGTATATATACTTTAATTAGAAATTGTATACATCAAATTTCTTTCAATATACTTCCAATTATTTTCATTTATTTTATCGATTTTTTTGACTTAAATAATTATTAATTTGATTCATTATGCGACTCATAATATTATGTTATACGACTATTCCAATACAATATTAATATCAAATATTTCATGGGTTTCTCATTTGATAATTACTTTATAAAAGTGATACAAGTAGAATATCTTTCATGTATATATTTTATATAATCATAAATATATTATCAAAAATCAATCAATAATCTTGAATTAAACAATAGATGATTTTTTTGTCATTGTAAACTTCACAAAGTTGAACTTTGTAAACTTATTTTTTGACTTTTTTTTTATAAAAATGAGTTTAATATCAGACACTGAAATAATGCCAATGCTAAAAAGTTTCTGTGCAGGAGATCAAATAATTTGGAACGTCAACAACGAAAATTGCTTAGATGCCTTTAAATCTCTTGTAGATTTAATAGAAAAAAATAATCTTCCTAATCACTTCGTTTTAAGATCCATTCTTATTGCACAGAACTTCAGAATCAAATTTCGAGACGTATATTATTGTCTTGCTAAATCATTTTTAGATAAATATGAAAATATCGAGAAAAAGAAAGAAGTTCTCGATCATTTTGAAAGGCTTCAAACAATTAAACAACGGAATGTTACAAAGTTCAACATTATAATGGATGATCTTCAAAAATTTCTGGAAAATATACAAAAACAAAATAAAGAAAAAGAAGATTACTTAAGCCTAGCGTGCGTCAGTGGATCGATCAATATATTTAAGTATCTCATAGAAAATGGCTCAGAAATTACGGAAAAAGCTCAAATTTGCGCTGCTTTAGGAGGACACGTGGAAATTATTAATACGCTAAAAGAAAAAGGAGTAGATTTCGATAATTTGTTTGATCAAGTACTATCAAGTCATAATAATGAAGTTGCAGATATTTTATTAAAAAATAACGACAAAAATAAGGAAAAAATACGACCAGAGCTTCAGCTCCAAGATTCCAACTTAATGGCCTTCAATTACGCACTACAAAACGGAATAGAACCTCTAGATAAAACAAAATTAATTTTATACGCTTGTGAATGCGATTCAATGGAATTATTGAAGTACTTTATCGAAGAGAAGCAGTATACAGCAACAGAAGCAGACTTTAAACCAACTTTAGACATCGCATCTGAATATATCCACAATCCTTTACAAATTGCTGTCAAAAATGGAAATTACGTTATGCTTGACTATTTAATACAGCATGGTTATGACAAAAACATTGAATTTTGCTTAATGAACGAAAAACACAATTTACTTTCTTATTCAATCAAATTAGGTCGTGAAAACATAAGTTTTCTGCTTATTGATAAATACCATGTCGACCACAACTTCACAGTTTATAAAAACAACAAATCTTATACAATGTTGATATATGCTTTGAAAAATAACTCATTTAAGATAGTCTGTAAGCTTTATGGCATGAATGTATCAATTTCTGAATGCTCAAAGATCTTAAATCCGAATAATCCTCCACAAAATTCTAAATCTCCTTTAATGTATGCTTGTAGACACGGAAGCATTGACATCGCTAGGTTATTTATGGCTAATAATGAAATTATGTCCTATCATACTGATAAATCTACCCCTCTAATCGAAGCAATTAAATCAAATAACCTTCAAATCGTAAAAGCATTGGTCAGTAAAGGCGCTAATGTTAACAAGGTGACAAAAACAACCCCGATCGGCGCAGCTCTAGAGTTTGGAGCTTCTATGCCTATAATGAAATTTTTACTTGAAAGTGGAGCGTCATTGGATCAACGCTTCACGCCCGTAAAAGGTGACGAAAAGGTCACGCCGATAGAATATTGTTTATCGATTCCTTCTAAGAGAAGTATTGCTAGAACACTTGAAGACTACAGTTACGCGATTTCGAAGTTGAATTCCACTCAAAAAACTCAAATTCAAACTCAAAATCAACTTCCTCCGCCAAATCCTTCAGAACGGAGGATCGTCCTCGAAGCTCTGAACAAATACGTACAGGAAAACCCTCAAGCACTTAATACTTTAGAAGAATATCAGAGAAATCCACAAGAATTTATGTTGAAACATGTCCAATCCATGCAGTATCCTAAAAATCAAGCATCTACCAAAAGGGTAGCAAGGTTATTGTTCAAACCTGAGCAAATTATTGAAATTGTAAAAAATATTCCGAAATATATTGCTGATAATAATAAAAAGGAGTCAGAAGAGCCACCACCACCAGTTATTATATCTTCCACCATTAGTATTCCTCCAAAACAAGCTCAAGAAACAGATTCTGCTTCTAAAACAGAAATAAAGCTTTCTACTGGAGATGAAGTTGATGCAAAGGTCGTAATTCCTAATAATCAAGAAGATCTTGATAGCTTGAAGCGCCTAATTGAAAAAAGAGTGATAAAAGGAATCGATATCAGCAAATTGAATAATTAATGTACTTTGTTTGTATTAATAAAATATTTTTATCCATTTTCTTTATATCCTTCTTTTTGCTCTTTGATTGTTTTTGCATAATTTGATTCGAATATTCATAAATAAGTTTGTTTTAGAACATTTCGAGTGAAAAATATGATACACAATGAAATTTAACAGATATTTATTGTCTCATAAAATATGATCGGATTTTAATTTTTTTTCGGTGAATTCAATGAAAAATTTTGGATTTGACATCTTTCTATTTCTAAGGCAAATTACAATTGTTGTGCATTCTGATTCAATACTTCAAAAGTGCTAAAAATGTATTATACTAATTCAAATGGTTTGTATTCGGAGTTCGATAATAACGAGAAGAGGTCAAAACTACTAACTATTGCAAACTTGTACTATGCTACTGTTTTCTTGGTATTTGCGATCCTTATGTATGTTTTCAAGTATAATGGTTATGCCTGGATCGGTAAGATCATATATTCTCAATATAAGGACAATAATAGCGCGATTGGTGATCAATTGGTAGGTAGAACAGGCCTTGCTCTTGCTTTGTGGTTCCTAATTTTAGGAATGTGTACGCTTTTGAATCCTAATATGCGAGACTCATATCAATTTAAGATCCATACTCGATACTACATCATCAAAACATTGATTCTTTTTGGAATTTTTGCCGGATTTTTATTTTTGCCCGATGAAATCATCAGTTTCTACCTTCGAATGTCCATGTACACAACGTTTTTGTACCTTATCTTCCAAATGTTCTTCCTAATGGACTTCTTCCATAACCTGAATGAGAAATACACACAAAAAGAAAACCAAATCATTCCATTTGCTCCAAAAAGCTGCAAAGTGAACCAAGCATTACTTTCCACGAATTTTGTCATTGCCATTCTATTTTTGATCATTTCTGCTGTTTCAGAGCACCATTCTGCATTTACTGCTGCACTAGTTGGTGGCTACATAATGTATCTCACTGTTATGGGTTTCTATCGTGAAGATACACAATGTAATCGTCTGCAAAAGAGTACTAATTCTCTTGTTTTTACAATAATTTCTTCTTTGATGATGATTTTCTATAATGTTTATTCTGCTTTCACAGCAACATTTAAATTTCATCTTTTTGATGATGAAGAATTCAAATGCTGTGATCATGAAATATGTCAATAGCGTGATGAAGAATCAAAGAACTTTTCACTTTCATTCTTCCACTTTGTCTTTTGTCTTGCAGCTGGATATGTCTGTATGATCACTACATCGTGGCTTGGAGGAGAAACACATTATCCATGGCGAAATAACAGCGGAAAATTTCGAAATGGGTTAATATAGGTGCTTGTTATTTCATTGTTTGTCTTTATACCTGGGTTCTTATTGCCCCTTATGTTTGCAAAGATCGCGAGTTTTAATAAAAATTGTTATTATATTTTTAGAAAATTCTTCGAAGCATTTTCTGTTCAGCATAACTCAGAGTTTGCTATTAATAATCATTATTACATTCTGTGGAAACACTAATATATGCTATAATCAATCATAAGAACACATTTACTCAACTTAATTTTTTTTGGAATGATGCTAAATGAAGGGAAGTTCCTTCATATTTTTTTTCCTTTTGAATTTTTGATCAATTATAGTTTTCAACAAAGTTAGAGTTCCGAATATTGATCAATATCTTATATTTCGAAAAAATTCTAAATTAACAACGAGAAAGGGACAGACTAGCCCATTGTCACTTTTTAATTTAGCAAATGAACGCTTATGGAGTGGAGTTTTTGGGTAAATCTGATTTGCTTATAAATGAAATAAAATCAAAAGAAACCATATTGGCATTATATTATGCAAAAATAAATGATCTTATTTAGTACTTTTAAAGTTAATTTCAGAAAAAATTTGACACAATGGTATCCGGCACATACAAGTGGTGTACAACCAAAATATAAGTTGGTTTAAACATATATTGCTATATCTCATGATCTTACTTAGTACTTTTAAAGTTAATTTCAGAAAAAATTTGACACAATGGTATCCGGCACATACAAGTGGTGTACAACCAAAATTTCATATCCCTAGTTTTACATTTATGTTTAGTTTTATTTCACCTAATTTTCAAAGATCATAATTGAATTAGATGGCCAAGCTATTCAAAACACGACCAAGCTTATCAAAATAAGACCAATATATTCAAAATTCTTTATTCTTTCAAATCATTTCATTTTAATGCAGATCCAAGATCACGAACTCACATATATCGAGTTGCTTAAGTATGGAATGCAACAAGAAATCCAAGCAGGTTGTAGTTATTCATATAAAACTAGGAAAGAAAGAAATCAAATCCAATTTAATTGTAAGTGGCCGAATTGTCCATGTCGCTTCCTTGTTGATACACTTCCCGATGACAAGTACCACATACGAAAATGTATTAACACCCACAATCATTCTGCCCCTTTTCCAAACAAATCACAACAAATTACATCATATTTTTATAGATCTTATTTAACAAGATATTTTGAATCAAATCAAGACCGTGTTTACGCACAATTAAGGTGTTTCAAAGATCTTAATATCCCATTTGATAGTGGGATCATTCCGGAAATGTTTCAACAATCTACAGATGCTTTAAAAAAGTTTTCTAAACGCCTTCATGCAATCAATACCCGTTTCTCAGCGGATGATGTTACATCTCTTGCAATTTTTGTCGACATGGTTAAGAGTCATTCTCCAGATGATCTCATCGAGTTTATTCATGAGCCAGATCGTATGATTTTCTATTACGCCCCATTCGAAGCAAATGCTTTTTCACATCAAATACAAACTTATCACATTGATTCCACTTATAAGCTCTTGCGCTCTCGCATACCATTTTATGCCGTCACTGGCAAATTCGCGGAATCAATTGTTTTTCCGTTTTTGTATTTTTTCGTTTGGCCCGACACAAGTGAAAATATACAAGTTTGTCTCACAGCATATTTTGGCTCCATCAATCGCGAACCATCTTATTTTTCAATGGACTGCGCACCTCAAATCACAAATGCTGTTGAAACAGCCATCCCCTTATGCCAGATCATTTGGTGTGGTGTTCATGTGTTGCGCGCTGTTATGAGAAAGGCTGAAAAGTTTCAAGATCGTTCCAACTTCGAAACTTTCTATAACTTAATGAAGTTATTGGTCTTTGGTTCTGAAGAGGAAGAAATTGATCCTGATGAAGTTTACAACAATTTAGAAGAAATTTTAAATGAGGAACCTGCTGCCCGTGAATACTTTGACCGACAGTGGCGCCATCATCTTGACAGGTGGATGCTTCGCTATAGAAATGAAGGAGATGGAACAAACAACATCTCAGAATCACATTTCAAGGTTTTGAAGCACCAGTACTTCCCAGAAAGGCGAAATCTTCGACTCGATGAACTTGTCATCGAGTTATATTCCAGTGTTGTTCCTTCATTCCTGATTAAGTTGCAAATTAAAGGTCTGGATTCAGAGAGAAGTGTTAAAGTTATCAAAAAAGTCACAAGAGATTTCGAAGAAATGACACAATTTAAAAAAGTCGAATGCATCAGTATGCTTGAAGCTGTTCAGAAAGGTCTGAAAAATGATACACTTGATCCCAACATTGTTTACTCAACATTAAAAATATTATTGCAAAGAAAACATTTGATTTAATAAACATTTAATTTATTATAATTAATTTTTTATTACAGTATAGTAAAAAATGCTATAAATAAATTATTATATTTTATTAAAATGTGACTTTTAATAGTAAGTGAATAAAATAAATCAGGAATTGGGAAAGAAATAAGGTTAATTAAAAATAATGAAAATTACAAGTTTAAGGTTAATAAAAAGTGACAATGGGCGAGTTTGTCCCCCACTCATTAACAACTATCAAACAATATTTTTTATGGGATGCTCCAAAATACGTGAACTATATCTTCCCAATACAGTATCTTTAATCGACAATTTTAGATTCTTAAATAACACTAATAATTTGAAGAAGACATTTTATTTTGGGACGAATGATTTTTCAATATTTACAAGCTTGCATAATGAAACAAATCCATCAGTAGTTGTTTACGTTTCTCCTTCTTATCCATCAGATTTTTTTGGAATTAATCGAGTTAAAAGCATTTCCGACTACATGAAATGCACCATCACTAATAACCAATTACATAGCATTACACTTGCTTCGTTGCTTAACTCAATCACTTCTATATTTTTGATGTAAAAGTTATTCTGATAAAAAATTTTACATTTTTTTTTCTGAGATGCGACTCTTTCATTGACAGATCCTAATATTTTTACCACTTCTTACAACGAAATTAAAGGGTTTTGGATTGTAGGAAGCGGTAGAGAAAATAACAATGGTTTTAAACCAGATGTAATTGTTCCTGAAGTTATTAATCTTCCAGGTTTTATTGATGGCAATGAAATCAAAGGATTATCATATGGATGCTTTCGACACAATACAGTAATTCGAGAAATAATCCTTCCAGAAACACTTGTCGAAATTTCAGATACTTCAATCGCCGACGTTAAAAGTTTATTGAGAGTTACCATACCATCTTCAGTCAAAGTTATAGAAGCCTACTTTAGCACAAATAATAATTTACAATATGTTATATTTAAAAAAAATTCATCATTAACTATAATAGGTGAATATTTTTTATGGGGTTGTTATAAAATACAGGAGTTATATCTTCCAAATACAGTGTCTTTCATTGAGAGCAATGGCTTGTTATGGAATGTCAAGAATATCAAAAATATCTTTTATTTAGGAACAAATGATTTCTCAACATTTCCAAATTTGCTAAATTTAACGCTTTCTTCAGTAGTTGTTTATGTTTCTCCATCATATCCATCAGATTATTTTGGAGTAAAGCGAGTTAAGTCTATTTCAGAATACGTGAAATGTACTATTGGCAATGACCAATTATACCACATTCTATCGATTTCGTTTCTCAACTTATTCTATTCATTCATTTTAGTTTGAAATAAAAATTGACATTGATTTTTCACTTCAAAAATTGAGGGAAAAGTCACGCGAAAAATTGACATTTTTTTCTGATCCCATTATTGTCAAATTTCTTTATTTTTGAGATGAGAATTTTCCATTGACAGATCCTAATATTTTCACTACTTCTTACCTTAATTGGAAAGAATTTTGGATTGTTGGAACTGGAATGGAGAATAACAATGGGATTAAACCTGGCGTTACTATTCCAGAAGTTATAAATCTTCCAGGAATTATTGATGGCCATGAAATCAAAGGATTATCATACGGATGCTTTCGCGGAAATGAAATAATTCGAGAAATCATATTGCCCGAGACACTGGTAGAGATATCACATACTTCAATCGCAGATCTACATAATCTAATCAAAATTACTATTCCATCCTCAGTTGAGATAATAGAGAGTTGGTTCAGTGGTCACCTTAATTTAGAAAATATCATTTTTTCAAAAAATTCTTCCCTTACAACAATACACTCTAATTTTTTACTATATTGCTACAAACTCAAAGAATTATACTTGCCGAATACAGTTGTATCCATTGAAAACGAAGGATTTTTATCCGAAACTTTTAATTTGAATTCAGTTTTTTATTTTGGAACAAACGATTTTTCAACACATACTGATTTACTCAATGAGTCACAATATTCTCTTCATATCTATGTTTCTCCATCATATCCCACAGATTTTTTTAGTGTCAAGCGAGTTCGAAGCGTTGCTGACTATCTAAGATGCAGTTTAGCTTGTGATCACTTGTATTCTCATTGGTTTACTTTATTTATCGATTCGTTTTATGTTTTTGATTTGTCATAAAAAGTGTCAATAAATTTTTATATTGAAAGTTTTTTCTTTGTAAAGATTTGGCCTGGAATACCAATAATGATAAGATATAAGAGATGGCTTATAGAACATTAGATTGTTAATATAGTCGGCTATATATCAAGCTAACGAACTATCTTAGCTTTGATTAACTTCTAACAATATTCTCATTATTCAAAATGATGCATTTTCTTGATATTGAAAACGTGACATCGACTCTTTCTGATTTGTTCCTATATTTGGTTTCTCTTAGTGAGAATGAAATTGTAATTTACGATTCATGCATCTGACTTAGCTGAATCATAAAATATCGATTTTATGATTTTTTTTTGATTTTTTGAAATCCAGATATAGTTCAATTTAATAGAAATTGAAATTTGGAATGATAGTTAACGAGAAAGGGCAATTTTAAAAGTCTGTTCAGAGCGATCATTAGTAGTATATGTGGAAGGGTTTAGTGACTTTTTTTGTTACATCTATATATAGACGATGCATTAAAATATAATTTATAAAAATTAACATTAATTTTAAAATAATTTATTTTTTTATCTTTTATAAAAGAAGCTATATATAGATGATGTCAGATATTCCGCGATTAATTAAACATTGTTTAAATCCTGAATGGGTTAAACTTCAATTTAAAAATGAAGATTGTGAATTATTAAATGAATATGAAAGCCAAAATAAGCTAATGAGGTATAAATATAATGATAAAGAATATTTAATTTCATGGAATCAATGGAGTCATAATCAAAGACCTCATAAACGAGAAGAAGAAATTGAAAATAATGAAATGGAAATCATTGATGACATTAAAGAGGATGGAATTCCTAAATTTTGTAGAAAAACCTTTAGAACTAAGTTAGGAGCATATAAACGTAGAGTATTAAATCCTGAATACATAAAACATTTATTTAAAAAGGAAGACTGTGAATTATTAAACGTTAATGAATATGAAAATGCTAAATCAAAATTGAAATATAAATATATTGGAAGTGATGAAAGGTGTAAAGATAAAGATAAAGTTTATTCAGTTTCATATAATAACTGGCACACGTTAGGGATAAGAAAACATTTAGGAGATTATGGGAAATGTTCTGAATTCTTTAAATCTAGTATATACGAGAGAGTAAAAGAAATTAGAAATAATTATTTTCATGAATGAAAAATAAACTTTGAAAATTCATGTCTTACATTTTTTTGAATAATTTATTTTTTTATTTAATGATAAATGAGCGTCACAACTAACAATGTTAAAAAAATGGAATTCACAAATGAGGAAATAAAGGATATATTAGAGGAGGCAGGTTATGAAGTTGATAAATATTATTTAAGAAATTGTCAAAAATTTGCCGAGTTATTAAATGATTTAAATTATGATGGAAAAATGAATAAAGATGATGTTATAAATTTCTTATATCCCACATCTGAAGAAGAAAAACCTAAAGAACCTGATGTTTTCCCTGAATATTATGAAGAACGGATTAAAGATGATGAATATGATGAAATTGAAAGACTGGAAAAAATAAGAGATGAAATAGATGAAAAAATTAAGGAATTAAGAGAAGTTGAAAAATATAATGAAAATGAAGTAGAGGGTTTAATGAATATCCCAGCTTCAGAATCAGAAGTACAGAAATCTCATGAAGAAAGATATAAAAATTACTTTTTGGAATCTACTAAAAATTTATTAGATGGTGAAATAAACGAAACACTTTCAGAAGAAGGTACTAAATTTATTCGTAAACATAAGTTACAATTTATTGATAATGAAGAATACCCCTGTATATTACTTTCACCTCCTCTTGATTCTGAAAAATTCAAAAAAGCATTGAAAAATGTAACATATGCAACAAATACGATTAAGAAAGAAGACCATGATATTTACACAAATTATTATTTAAATAAATGCACGGGTGTTGATAAAGTTTTTGATTTATTAGATAAAATATCAAAAGAAACAATTGGTACATATAAAATTTTATGCGATTGTGGTTTCATTATTGAAGATACCAATAATGTTTCATATGAAAGAACAGCACCGAAGGAAGACGAAGTGGAAAGGTCTATACCATTCGTTATTAAGAATATAAAAGATATGAAAACTTATAAGCATTATATTTATTCATTTATTTCAGAAAAAATGGAAGCAACCCATAAAACATCATCTCATCATTTTATAGCTATTCATACATTCCTTTTCAAAGTTGTGAAATTAAATAAGACAGGAATTAGATTTAATGTATCAGGGTACGCATTCTTGAGTAAATTAAAATGTATTCGTCACGTCGCAGATGATAAAAATTTATGTGTTCTTAATTCATTTTATGGACTTTAGCCCTGGACTCTCTGAGTCTCGGGCTTTAAAAAATAAAGTTTATTTTTATTTATTTTTTTAATTTTTATTCTTACATAAATGAACAAAAATGGAACAGCTAAAATGAATGATAATCAAATAAGAGCAGAAGGTAGAAGGTTATTTAAACGCTTCTATAACATTCCTGATGGTGTTAATCCTAAAACTCGTAGAAGCTATTTAAATGAAGCAATAGATGCATATGAAGGGTTTGACATTTCATCAGAAAGTGAGAGGTTAGCAAGAATGTTAAACGTTAATATTGATTTTTATTATTGTGACCCTCAACCAGAAGACGTAGACATTAACAAGGTAGACTTTCCATTAGTGGATTCAATAATGATAGATCCAGAATTTGAAACAGTAAATATTTTATTAACACAGAGTCCATGTGGAAAACTTCACGCTGACAGAATAACAGACGTTGAAGCACTCACCGGCTATAAAGTTTGCCCCTTTTGCAAAGAAGAAGTATATTCTATCCGTGATGATCCAGAAAGGAAAAACCAAAGAAGATTTTTAAAACATTGTGAGAAATGTAAAGAAAATAATGGAAGATTAATTCAAGACGTTCAATTGCAAAACACACAACAACCATATGCACCACATATCACGAAACAGAAGATATATCAATGGCTATTAGCACATAATTTGCAAGAATATTATAAACCAACAAGATATTATATTACTTTTGACTTCGAAACATTAGAGACTAAAGAAGAATTACAACTTTCTGAGTGTGCAACTTTGAATGCTTACTTAAAACCATTCATGGTATCATCAACTGTCAAAATAAAGCCGCAAAGCGGCGAGGTCGTAGACCGTGATAAAACATATACGAGGAATTTTTGCTTAACATCAAGTGATTCGTTCATCTCTGATTGGATTGAATTTTTATTTTCAACCTGTTCATTAGTTGCTAAATCAAATATTGAACAATATGAAGAATTAATGAAGTCACAAACATTAAATGAAAAACAAAAGGAAGTATTTAAAGAACTTCTAGATGAGGAATTCAATAAAGTGAATATCATAGGTTTTAATTCGGGAAAGTTTGATTTAAATTTAATTCTTCGTGATTTAAACACCGCAAAATGGAAAATAAAATCAATGCTGGGTTCATCTTCACAATTTAAGCAAATCATTGTAAAGAAAACAAACGTTCCATATGAATTGAGATTTATTGACATCAGAAATTATATAGCGGGTGGGACATTAGACCAATTCACTCAAGATTTCGGAAACAATAAATCACGTGTTAAATCCTTTTTCCCTTATCAATTCATCACATGGGAAAATTACGAAGAAGAATTATATAAAGAGGAACCATTCACGAAAGATTCATTTTATTCAGCATTAACTCAAGAAACTATATCAGATAGTGATTATCAAATATATCTCAATGATGCTAAAAATTTTAAGAATAGATTAGAATATTTTATTCATTATTGCAATAAAGATGTTGAAATTATGATTGACCCAATTGATAAAATTATTGAAGAAACATTTGTTTATAAAATTGACATGCTTCATAATCTTTCTTTATCATCGAATGCATCAATGATTCGTTACGCTTTAGCATATAAAGACTTTAATCCTAACGAAAAATATCCAGAAGAAGAAAATGTGGAATCAAGTTTTGAATTAACGAAAAAGTATTGGAAATATAAAATTGAATCATATAAGAAACAAGATGAAAAAGCAGAAAGAGATACTAAAAATAATGTTTCAATGGATGACTATCAATACTATCACATTTAATCCTTTCATCTAAATGCAAAATGTGTGGTAAAGCGTTTACATATGCAAATAAACCAACATTGGATAGAATCGATAATGAAAAACCACATACCAAAGAAAATTGTCAGTTAATGTGTTGTTATTGCAATGTCGTAAAATCAAATAAAGATGAAGATGTTCAACGTTTAAGAATCAATTTAAGAAATTATACATTAAAAAATAATTTACCAATGACTTTAGATTCAGTTGAAGCTTATCACATTCTCCGTAATGGAATTACTGGTGGTCTATCAAATGTTCAACATCGTGTTAATCTTAAAGGAATCACGCACATTAATAAACTTGCATATAATCCAGAAACTAAAACTGTATCAAATGAGGACACCACCAACATTATGACTCATTTCGTTGGAGTTGACTTTAATTCATTATATCCTTCATCATTTTCATCTAATCCTCATGATTTCATTCAATATACTGACCATAAAATGTATATGCCGGGAAGATTGAATGGTGTTATCATTTGTGATACAGCAACAAAGAAAGCAAAAGCACTGGGAATTATTAGAAAGAAAAATACTTTATTCGTGGCTGAAGTAAAGGGTCACATTGATGAAAAATACATTAATGATTACATAAACTTTTTACCGATAATAAGAAACTTAGATATTATCACAGATGAAAAAACAATTGGCAGTTTTATGTATAATTACATGAAATCAAACAATCTACCAGTTGACCAGAAACAGAGAAAATTAACTCAGTTAGCATCAACACACAACCAATATCAATCATTTTCTTCTTATTATCTTTGGTATCTAATAGACAGATTTCATTTTATCATTGATGACATTCAATCAATTTTAACATTTACGAAAAATACTTGTTTTAATGAATTTGCGAACGAATTTATGAACGAAAGACAAAAGGCTGAATTAGAAGGAAATAAAGGAAAAAGTTTATTTTGCAAGATTTCACTTAATGGATCATATGGTTACGATGCAATGAATACACAAAATTACGCAAAGACTAAAATAATGAATGCACAGAAGGCACACGTTGCATGTATGTCAAATAAGTTTAAAAACATAAGAGAAATAGGTGAAGATACGTATCAAGTGATGCTTAAAGATAGATTTTATAGATGTGATACATGTTTACAAGAGGCATTCTTCACTTTAGATAATGCAAAATACTGGTATTTGGTTTTCATTTATGATTTTATGTATAAATGCATGGATGTTAATCGTTTTCATTTCATTGAAGGTGATACTGATTCATCTTATTGGGCTATTGCTGGCGATCCAAGTCTTCCTAACACTCAAGCATTTCAAGCAATTGTAACCGATAAACAATTTTATGATAAAAACATTTACAAATTCGCACCTTTTGATTTCTTCTGTTTTGATGAGAAATTTAAACCTAAATTAAAGAATAAAGCTGAAGAAAAAGCACATGAGAAGAAGTTATTGGGTTTAGCAATTGAGAAACAAGGTGATAACATGGTTGCTTTATGCCCTAAGTGTTATACTTCATTCAACGGTTCAATTGATGGAGGTGATTTTAAAAAGATTGCACAAAAAATGAAAGGTGTTAGTTTACGACAAAATAAACAATTAACACCTAAAAATTATTTGGATATAATAAATGATAAAGTGATATTTGATGGTCAGAATATTAATTTACAACTTAAAAACGGGTCAATGACTCGCTTAACAATTGGTAAGACTGCATTAACAGGAGCACACACTAAGGCTGTATGTTGTGAAAATGGATGTTGTATGCCGTTTATTTAATACAATTTTAAATTTTATTTTTAATGAAATGCCACAGAAGAGACAAAAGGAACCGTTAATAATGGTTTTGTACTATGATTCAAAGAGGTGGGCACCCTTAAAACATTTATTTTATTTTTATATAAATGGATAACACAGATTTAAAAATTTTAATTGATGATTTAGTATTTAATCAAAATTTTCTTGATTATTATGATTTAAAAGCATATCTCCAAAAATATAATAAAAATATAACGAGTGATGATATGGAATATTATTATCCATATTATAAAAATGAAATTTTGAAATATCATGATAAAATAATTTCTAAAATTAAAGACAAAATTAAAAATAATGAATATACAAAGGGAAAAACTAAATCACAGCTTAAACAGTTGAAAGATTTCAAAAATAAAGTATTAACAGAAGAAGATATTGATGAATTATATAAATTATATAATCCCGAGCCGCAAAAGCCAAAGGAACAAAAACAAATGGTACAAAACGCCCAGGTCCTTCAGACCATAAATGATGCACAAGCTTTAATTTATGATTCATTAGTTAAACCATATTCAGCCCGACTTTTAAATGAAGATCAACTTTTGGAATTCATCCTTCAACATAAACTCGAAGCGGGAAAGTATATCAAACCTTTATATACAGCATATTTAAAACAAATGAATAGAATACATCCAGAATTAATGAAGGAGGGAATGAAATCCAAAATCAAAGCAGATAAAATTAAACCACTTACAACACCAAAACCTCCAACGATAGTAGTACCTCCTCCTTCAGTTAATCCTTCATCATTCACTTTATTATATCCATTTCAAACATTTAAGAAGCAAAAAGATTTTAAAAAGGATTTCAAGATATTAAATAAACCAATTGACCCAAAAATTCAACCGTTAAAGGAAAAATTTAGTCGCCCTTCATTTGCTCCATATCCATATTCATACGAAATCGATCATCTGGAATATTCAAAAGGAAACGTTACTTATTTATTTGCCATTAACATTAACACCAGATATTTATATTGCATTCCGGTGAAAGGGAAAACAGAACAGGAAACAAGAAGAGCTATACAATACTTACTAGATCATGAAAGAGTAGATAATATAAGGGGTGATGGTGATAAAGGATTTCAGGCAGCTATGGCTCATTATTTCCCACAAATTAATTTTTACTTTTCATCCTCTCCATATACGTTTCATAATAAAATAGTTGATGTGGTAATGAGAACTCTTAGAGATGCGTTAGGGGTTAATGGTCAGATATACTGGGATGGAAATCATGACTCCATCATACAGCAGTTAGTATATTATTACAATAATACATGGCATAGAACTATAAACATGAAACCAGTGGAAATGAAAAATGATATTTCAAAAGAATGGGAATATATTAGAAAGCAAATGGAAAGGTTAAATGATGTTAAACGTGAACAAATTAATTCGGGGCTCATGAATTTTAAACAAGGAAATAAAGTTTTAATTCATCTCGATTATGGAAAAACTGATAAATCAATGACAAAAAGAAGACGAAGATTTGACACAATAGCTGAATTTGTTAGATATATTAACGGCAATGCATTAGTTGAAGTTGACAATAAATTAATAGAAATTCCGATTTATTTTATTACTCCATTATATTTAAATAATATTTAATTTTTTTTATTTCGTAAGAAAATGAGTGACAACAAAGCAGTCAAGAGTCCAGACAATGAATATAAAAAGAAACTAAACAGAATTAAATCAAAAATATGCTATTACAAAAAGAAGTCGCAATGCAGTGGGGTTGAAAATGATAAAGAAATAATCGAAAAATTAGAAACTTATCGTTCAATCATTAAACTGAGTGAAGCAAAAATAAAAGAATTTAATAGAATAAATAAATTGATTGGAAGAGATGAATTTAATAAAGATGAATTTTTAAACTCAATCCAAATTTAATTTTTATTCCTCTTTGACAACATCTCTCTTTCCATCATTACTGCATAACCACATTTTCTCAATTTTAGTGGTTTGTTATTTTTAACATGTTCTTGCATCATTTTTATCATTTCCTCCCTTGTTATGATTCGTGGTAAATTTTGAGCTTGTGGGGTATTCATTTATGATAAAAATAAAAATTTGTTATCACTTATTTTATCGTTAATGTTTTTAGGTTATTCAATAATTAATTATTTTTGAATAACTGAAGGGGTCACCAGGTCACCAGGTGGTCACCAGGTAATTTAACTTCTCTGAAAAAATGTGACAACATGACATTTTGACAACATCACAGGAGGAAGGCAGTTATGACTTATTTTTGAATAACTGGGAAATAAATTTACGTCAAATATGCAATTTATAAAATCTTATGTTGACAGGCTACGTAGCACAGTGGTCTAAGGTGGTGTTATGGAGGGGTCAAGGTCTGTGGTTCGAACCGCGACGGCGCCGTATTTTCTTATTTTCTTTGTTTGTCTTGTTTGTCGTGAATAAAAAGTGTCATAAAAGTGCTCTATCTTCCACGGGAATAAATAAAAAATTTACTTTATTTCTTCTTTATTTCTTCTTTATTTCTTTGTTCCCGTGGAAGAAGGGTTTTGCTGTTTTTCTCAGCCGAAATCAATGATTTTTTCATTTTTGGAATCCTTAGCGAATGAGGAATAAAAATTTAAATTATGCCGTTCACTCTTTTGGAGCTCAGGACTTTCAGTCCGTTCTAAAGTTTGTTTCACAAACATTGAGCGTTCAATAAACACGGTACCATGCGAATACAGTCATAAATGGTGGCATATAATCTTCACCCAAGCCTGTTGGATTTGTTGTGAAAGTATGGACATGATTTCCTCCTGGTTCAGTTGGTCGAAAAGTCTTTTTTGCTGAATGGTTATAATCTGGAGATAAAACATCATAGCCAGCATAATATTCTGAGTTGTATAATGGGTGGTCTCTTAATGAGTGGCTATGGTCGCCAGAAAAGTTTGTAGTTCCCGTATGAGTGTGCGGTGGAAGGTTTGCTTCAGTAATTTTCTTCGAACCTCCTGTTTCCTTTGAAGAGTTCGCACAGTATAAGAATTTATCTACAATCTGCTTCCACGTACCGAAACCCAGAACTGTTGCTGGATTTGTTGAGTTCATTGACGTATATATTGAACCAATGGGGTAAATCATCTCAAGAATTGTATTTAATCCATTATGAATATTGAATTTATTATATAATATTGAATTTGGGTGAGTATTTAAAACTGGTCTTGTTATCAATATTAACGTATTATTTTTGAAAATTGCTTTTCTAACATCTTGAAATTTTGTGATTTCAGACCAGTTTCTTCCATCCCTACTGATATTTACTAAATCACCACATCCTAAAGCAATGAAATACCCATCAATATAAAATAAATTTGTAAATCTATAATTTTGAGTAAGTTTTGGAGTGAATGAATAAACCAATTCCCAATTTGATAAATCCTGTGATAAATAAATATGTCTGTTATAACTTACAGGATATGAATAGACCATTTCACCTGAAACGAGAACATAAACATTTGATCCATAACATAAAGCTTCAATGTCTCCATCAGCTTGAAAAATTTGTTCAAATTGACCTTGTGGTATTGAAGATGATCTATAAATTTTATCATTTTGTAGGATAAAATACATGTTGTTAATGTAATACCACTTACTTGTATAATCAATTTCCAAATCTGATGACATCATACTAAACATATAATAATTTATCCCATCCTCACTAATGAAAATTTGATTGACTTCATAAATTAGTACCCATTTATTATTAACGCATCTAATAGGATTATTTGAATATTTAAATTTAGCATCTTGATTTAAATTACATTTGAACCATTGGATACAATCGAATGAATAACAAGGGCAAAAATCATCTTCAACCGTTATCATTCCCATAAATTTACCGTTATTATATTCAACATATAAAATTCTTGGATTAATGATTGGCTTTCGTGTATCAGGATTCAAAACAGATGGAGTAAATGATTCATAGTTTTGAAAATCATTTGTTTTAAAATAATAAAGCACTCCAGCTGTATAAAATAAATACATGGTCACTCCATCGAAACATATCCATTCAAAAGAATCTATATCAAAGGTTTTATCTGATGATTTCATAAAATTTAAAAATGGTGGAGTAAAATAGACCTCTGATTGTTTTATTTCTTCATTAACAAATGATATATTAGCTTTCTTATTTAACTCACTATCCACATATTCCTTATCCGCTTTCTTCCCTAACTCATTGTTAACATAAGTTTTATCTGCTTTAAGGTCTAAACATTCTGAAACCCATCCTGTATCAGCTTTAGTTTTAAGAATCTTCGATGTCCGTTCATGATACCATTCAACCCTTTCTATAATTTCATTATCTTTTTCATTAACATATTCATTATCTGCTTTCTTCATTAATTCACTAGCCACAAGTCCCTTATCTGCTTTCTCCTCTAACTCACTATCCACGTATTCCTTATCTGCTTTCTTCATTATGTCATTTAGGAAACCTTTTATGAATTCCTCATTTAAATTAAATCTTCCAATCTTCAAAACTTTAGGAAATGCATTTAATGCGTAATATCTTTGTTCTTCTGGTGGAATTGATGTTATATCATCCGTTATTCCTTTAATTTTTGAATTCATAAATAAAATTTCTTTTATATTTGATATCACTGCACCACCTTTGCAAACGAATTCGAAATGGTCATTTTTCAATACTATCTCCAAATCTCCATATTTCAACATTTGCGTTTGTTCTGCCGTCTTTGAATTATATGCATATATGGCGTATGTAATGGTCTGTGCCTTAAGTTGTTGTGGTTGCTGTTGTTTAATCATTTATTATGATTTAAAAATAAATATTTAATCCGTTATCTCATCACCTATTTTTTCTATTTGAAATTGCCATAATATTTCATTCATGAATTCTAAATCACAATCAAATAGGTCGTTATTCTAAATTTAATATTTGATAAATCTTTTGAATGAAGAATAAATGAATTCCCGGAT